GCTAGTCTTTAAAGCAAATGAATTAGAAATATGTGTTTAAATACAATTTTCATGCAGATCTCAGAATCTCTCGGTTGAACTGGGTGACTATAGATAATGAATGGATTGAATTGAACAAATGAACAAACAAATGAACGAATGAATGAATGAATGAACATCAAGACATGCAAATACCCACGTCTGGAATGTGATTGATACAATCTGTTTGCCTCTCCTTCTGTTAAAAGTACCATTCCTACCAGAAGATTTTCTCCAACTGCCCTTTCATACCACTCACAGAAAATATATGGTTTATCAACATTTGAATAGTGCCAATATCAACAGGAACCCAACACAATAAAACCATTTTCTGAATGTCCAGAAGAGAGATTGTGAGATATAAAGGCTAAAGATATGTGAGTGTTGACACCATATTAAATTAGTCCCCACTCCCAAATGTCTATCCAAAATTATTAGACTATACTAGGTTCAGAATGCATTGAAGCAGTGAAGCAAAAAAAAAAAAGGGTGGGTGGGTAGTGTATGGGTAAATAGATGAGGTGGGGGAAGAAAGCAGAAAGATGTGCAGAATGAATGATTACAAAAGCCTGGGGATAAACCTTCAACAAATGCAATTGTGCTTTCTAGACAAAAGGCGCCCGTCAGGATGGCAATGGCTGATTGCAGAGGGAATCAAATGATCTCTTTTGTGTAGGGTGACAGTAAAGGATGAAAATGAAAAGTGGCCAAAATATGTGAGCTGGACTAAAATGTGAAGCAATGGTAAAAAGATTGAAATATCCTTGAAGCAGTTCATTTCTATGATTTATGTGGGATGAAGAAATACTGCCAACTTGTAGAAGTCTGCACCATCAGAGACAGTATAAGCAGAGCACTGGGAAAATGCAACTCTGATTATTGGTTAGGCAAAATAATTTCCGGTTCTGCGTTAATGCATCCTACGCTGTGTGAAGTGTTAACCATCTATCCTTCATATACAAAATTCTGGCAGAAAATTGTACATTTCCAACATAAAACTTTGCTTTCCCTAAATGTCTTTGGAGATTCTCAGTCATCCAAGTCATGGCTGTCCCAAAGGTGCTTTTTCAAAAGGCAACTGGACTTTGTTTTTCCTTGAAGATGTTTTGCTTTTCATCCAAAAGCTTCTTCAGTTCTGACTGATTTGAGCACCTATCTCCTGTTTACAACACAGTCCTTTTTGCAGTTCCAAGAAGGTTCTACACCTATTTGCACTATTCAGGTGATCAACAGCTCTCAGAAAGAGTGCTAACAACCAGATGACTGCAAGGAATATAAATCCTTCCATCCTCCACATTTGATCAGCATTTTACATCACCACTGCTTTCTCCATTTCTATATTCTTGGCTCCAGAAGCTGGGATGAATCTTGCTCAGTAAGCAGGCCATAAACTTTTCCAGGATCCATCCATTCTTCTTTCCTTCCTTCTTGTGATTCCTCAAGTCCCCTAATACTATTGTCACAAAATCACAAAAGTAGATAGGGGTATTACATCTTCAGGAGGTTTAAATATATTTATAACTGTTTTAATCCTTCTTCACTCTCAAGAAAGGGCCAGGAGAAAGGAGCCCCAAATCTTATTCTTAACCCCATTAAGTGATATTGTTATAAGTCTTGCTCATATGGCCAATAGTCACTTAAACAATTGAAAAATGCCCTAGACTTGTTTGTTGTTAGAATTAAGCAGACAAATTGCTCCATCAACTAAGAACGGCTATGCATCTCCATGAACAACATAACAATAATAAATGGATGAATTTGTGTCTAAAGCTATTTTCACAATTATCAGGAACTGATAATTATCAGGAACTGCTGAATGATAGCAATTATCATACACTATTCTGTTTTAAAGATTTAAAGAGGCAAAGCGGTATCAATTTTTTAAAGCTGGACAAGGAATGTCACATTATTTAAAATGTCTTACATTACATTCCCCGAGGCAAGCTTTTCCACAACTTCACTTTCAAACAATGCCAATAGCCTATTTTGATGGAAGATATAAAGGATGCACACTTTTTATGCATTTGTAATAATTCACCATTGTAAAATCTGAGCCATGACTTACTATATTGCAAGTTATACCAGGAATCTACAGCTAGATTCATCATACCTTTGTTAATCCAACTGAAACAGTCTAAAAAAATCAAAAATGTTGACTGATGTAGATAAACAAGTAACAAAAAAAGTTTCATTGTTTGCAATGGCCACAAGGAAGATATGAAAGCCTATGTTGAAAAATAGTGCTGTTAACATTAGAGGGCATGTATTGAATTGATCTGGATTGTAATTTTATATGAATTTAGCTAAAACATATGGTTGCAAATAAATGTATAAACTTATTATGCAACAATTGAAATACAGAACTAATTTCTAATGAGAAAGGTGCCTTAATGATATAAACCAAGCATGCATGATACCTGCCAAGGGTCCAAGAGACAATTTCTTACCATAAAATAAAGTAGTAAAAAATCTCACACCTTTTCAAATTTTTAAACAAAATAACATCCAGATATTGTATGTGCACAACACTCCCTGAAGGCAAGAAAAGCTTCCAGGCTCATGTGCAAATGCAGCGATTAACAGACTGAGCTAAAGTGAGAATTGGAAACTCCTTGTTTTATGATGTCTCCGGGTGCCCTTAAGTAAGCTACTCTCTCATCCATTCTCTTGCATTTGTAATATTGAGACAATATTATTGATCTAATTTAATGAATGATGATAAAGGATTACAAACCAAATGATTTACAATCCTCATTTATATGGAAACTCTAGCTCTACAGTATTTGGTACTGGTAAATACGAATTGCTACTTTTTGCTATTTGATTATACCTTTGTAAAACATAAACTCTGAGAATTGTCATCCTTTGCATTCAACCTCATTACTCAAGAAAGCTGAAATTGTATCCTGGAGTTAAGAGCCCTATCTAGTCTCCAACACATACACATACTATAATACCAAGGTATCATGTAGTACTAAGGTAACAATGGACAGAAACTAACCAAGGAGAGAAGTAACCTAGAACTAAAGAGAAAATTCTTAATGGTTAAAGCAATCAACCAATGGAACAGCTTGCCTTCAGAAGTTGTGGGTGCTCCATCACTGGAGGCTTTCAAAAAGAGATTGGACAACCATTTGCCTGAAATGGTATATGGTTTCCTGCTTGAGTGGGGGTTGGACTAGAAGACCTTTAAGGTTCCTTCCAACTCTACTAATCTATGTTCTGTATATTACCAAGTTTTCTGATTCTCACATTGAGGAGGTTTATTCTGAAATTACAGAAAACTGATTTGGAACAAACTGAGGGCTAGTAGGCAGAGATTCAAGGACAACGTCTTTGTTAATCTAATTCTACTTTTATTACAGATATTAAAAAGGTGTGGTTAAAGCAGAACTCTTAAGCTTCAAATGATGTATTTATATTAAACAGTGTATCTTGTTTGTCCACTTGCATGCCCCAACAAATGAAGAGCTGGTTGTTTTACTGTGATGATAGACATCTACATGTTGTTACTCTAATGGCCTTGCTGGTTCGATGTACAATGACAATAAAGGCTTTGAACTTTGTACTCAGACATGATTCATCTAGCCTCACACAAAGAGTTAGCGTGGCTGCCACTGAGTGTGGTCACCACTCAGATAGATGGGACTAAATATTTCAGACCATTTTTATGTACAATTTAAGTATGGAGGAATTCAAAGGTTGGATGAAGGTGCCAACTTTGTCCCATAAATTAGAAAATCCATTGTGATGGATTTCTTTTTTTCAACAGGTTGTTGTATGTGCCTTAAGCCATTCTAAGAGAGTGTCCTAAGAGTGGATAACACTGTATGAAATATTTGATGTTAAGAAGTTTGTGTTTATTCATAACAAATTTTACTTATGCTAAGTCTCTGAGGTAGACTAGAAATGTGAATGAAAAATCATATAATCAAGCTGACTTTCCATTTATATCAAAAGAATTTATCTGGAGCAACTGTAGCTCTGCTCTCAACAGAGAAAAAGTCACTCATATGTTGTGGTTACCTGACCTTTTTTTTAAAGTGCAGAACAGAGGAAAAAGACAAACTCTGAATATACTGAAGAAAACCACACAAAACACAAATGATTGGTAACAGGTGAATTTTTTTGTGTGGTACTCCTACAAAAAACATCAAAGGATGGAAAACTGAGTCTGAAATGGCTACAGAGTTTTAAGAATGTAATCCTTCTTTGGTATCCATTGGAAAAATAAGTGATATCAGAGGGAGTGATCTGTCACAGGACAAGGCTAGCAAGCAAATTGCTAATATCTACAAATAATCTAAAACATTCCCAGAATATTCTTGCAAATCTACAAAATTATGCTGCATATTTGAGAACCATCAAGACCCCTGAAGTGGCTAGTTTCCATTAATGAGTTATTAGGAATCAATTCTTGCCCCAATGATATTACTCACTATTGTATACTTCCAGATACCAGGGCAACATTGTTATAGGGTACAACAATATTATATAATATGGCTTATTCACTTGCATATATTTTTGTTTGATTGCTTGCATATTTTACACTGAGTAACCATTTATTGAATAACAACACATTTAAAAAAAGTTTAAAAAATTATCTTGGGCTGTGAGATGGTCTAATATCACATATTGTGTGTGTAGTTCATCGCTCATATATTACCTTTCCATGACAGCCAAACATTCCTTTCTCCAGGTAAACCGACTGCCACGTCGCAAGCGGAAAGTCCCAGAGGTAGCTGTGACTGGCGGAGGCGTCTGTCTCCATTCTGGCTCTTCAACTGGAAGGGGGGCTGGTCTCATGCTTAATGTAGCCCCTGGAAACAGCAAAGCAGAAAGCAAAATGTTTCCTAAGGAACTAAAAATAACACCTACTCCTCTTCCCAGTCTGGCTAATGACAGGGAGCAACTCCCTGTGGGACGAGACTTTGTTTCACCGAAATTAAAATTAAGATATCTAGCAATAAAGAGAAACAGAGCCCCTGTGTGTAACAGAAGAGCTCATGATAAACAAATTAATTCAAAAAACCATGCAACAGCCTGCAAGTTGTCATGTCAAGTCTCCTGACACCAAAGCAATAGTTAACATTACAGTGCAGAATTCCAAAACAGAATACCATTTAGAGATTGTGAATGGCCCATAGATATACAGTCATGCAGTCTTTGACTGATTGCCTATAAATATGATGGGTAGTGTGAAAAAAATTCTTAGCATTCTGGGGCTGTAACTACATAAGTGAAAGACAGATAGTACACTTGATCCCATGTGTAAAATCAACTGATCTTGGCATAAAAGTAGCATTTTTTTTTCATGGTGTTTCTCTATCCAGTATGCTTCACCAACGCAGGATTTCCAATACACCAGATCACACTGTACCACTATAATTTAGTGAGATGGCTTATAACATGTTGTAAGTAGCCTGGTAAGTATAAGAGATTACTTGGTTTTTCCCCCTCACATTTAGAGACTATTCCTATAAAGTCCTTACATGCTTTCCCTCTTCTCTTATGCACATCCAAACACCTAGACTAATTATTACCTAACATTATGGCAGCACTGCCTCCTTCCTTGTCTGCACCTCCCTTCATTAAGTACTCCCTCTAATGTACAGAGCATTTGGGGTTTTGTATCTGAACAGCTGGAATGTTCATTAACATTCAATAACACCTTAGCAGTTTAGACAACAGCATATTTAAGTATACGAAAGCCCAGATATTCAAGCTAATTAAAAAAGCCAGAAAAAATCAGATCAGTAATGACTTTCAAATGAACCTATATTTACTACAGATTGCTTATTTTTCTTGTTTTGTATACTTCACGTTTAACAGCAGCACAATAAACCCAGAAGATACAGAATATGTTTTTTATATAAAATTTCAGAGATGTTGTGGAAACCTGTGCCAATGACATAAAAGAAATCTCTACATAACTCTGTATGATATGTACTGAAATAGAATCTCAATGTTTATATGCATTTATTCAGCCTGCATTTCCAAAACATTGCAAATTAGAATACAGATATTCACAAAATTCAACATTTTTCTTAATGTTGTCATGTAGTCTGCAATTCTAAAACAACCTACAACTACATAAATTAGGGCAAAATAAGAACAGAAGTAAAGGTTTTGAATAGTTGAAAACTATTTCTATTCAAAAGTATTTATTTATTAAATTTATATGCTGACCATCTTGAGGCATATAAATTCATGTAGGAAATGTATATACGTATAAATATTTAGATATTTATTCATAAATTAATATTCATAAATATTATACGAGGAATGTACATAAAAGTGTATAATTTGATGGAAAAAGGGACACATCTGCAAGCTAAAACTGAATTTTGGGCTCATTCCTTTCAAAATAAATTGACCAAAAGTGAAATGTACAGTTTCATCTTCAAACAGTAGCTTCAAAATTTGTTTAAAATAAAGTATCAGTAGCCAAATGCAAAACATTGAGAGGAGGCTCTGAAAAGCAAAACTTCTCTCTGGAAATCCTTTTTTGGTGAACATCAGAGCAGAAGGGGAAAGAGAGCAAATGTTTGTAGCATTTAGCTTCTAGATAACAGACACAAATAATCCTATGAGACAAGCATTTCAAAGATGCTTCTTAGTTAAAAAGGAAGACAAAAAAAAATCTATAAATTTTCTTCGGCAATATTTCTGCTTCCATGTAAATCACTTATTATTGACGGGCCTGCTTTCTGAACACACAACACGTTTTCCCTGCTCTGCAGTTCCTCCTCTTAAGTATTAGAAATGGCCAAGCAAAAGAGCAGCACAGCCAAGAGATTAGATCACTTGGCTACAACCCTGAAAGCTTTGCTGCTTCAAAGCCTACTTTTAATTCAGTACGTGATGGTTCTGTCATCCCACTCCCTGGAAAAGGAAAAACACGCCTACCTGGTAGAACGAAAACCCACTTTACAAGAAAAGAGTTAGGGATATTTGGCAGTCACCACACTGCTTGTATACAGCTGGTTGCTGCAGCTCTGCTGGGACACACATTCACAGTTCACTTCCTTTTGCCTCCACCATTTTCTGGGAACAAAGACCCAGTCATATCTGGGTTCATCATCGACTTCCTTTTTCTTCCAATGTCTAATTCAACAATGTTCTACTTTTCTGTTTTCTTCTTTCTCTATTCTCCTTGGCTTCTTCCACCAACAATTTTCATGTTTTTTCATCAACTTTTCATCAACAATTTTCATCAACAATTTTCAATTTTCAGGCCAGCCCTTCCCATGAAAGAGCTGGCCTGCAACTTGGAACTACTCTTGGACTCTTAGTCCTTGCTAGAAAAAGAAGTATAACAAAAGTGAGGGGAACCTTTGCTTATCTGAGGTTGGTGTCCAGTTTCATATCTGTTTGGACCCCTTGGTGAGATTGTTGTAACATTCTTCATGGTGCTGCCGTTGAAAATGATTCAAAAGATAAAGTGGATAAAAATGCAGTAGCCAAGTTATTGGCAACTGAGAGCTGCAATAAGATTTATATTTATTTTCTAGTTGCTGCTTTGGTTGCCAACAGGTTTCTAACCCGTTCTGTTTTTAATCTCTAAACCATTGTAAAGGGGTTCTACCATTCAGTTTCTCCAAATAAAAACTGCCTGATATATGTATCCATGTAGGAGGAGAAACTTAAGCTCTTAAGTTCACTTGTTTTCCTGAAAACAAGTGAACTCATCTCACAAATAGCAATAGCACTTAGACATATATACTGCTTCATAGTTCTTTACAGCCCGCTCTAAGCAGTTTACAAGAATCAAAATATTGCCCCCAGCAATCTAGATCCTCATTTTACCGACCTTGAAAGGCGGAATCAACCTTGAGCCGGTGAGAATAGAACTGCTGAACTGCAGTCAGCCGGCAGTCAGCAGAAATAGTCTGCAGTTCTGCATTCTAACCACTGCGCCACCACAGTTCATTGAGAATGATGACTAGAAAGTGATGTTTTCTATTAAGACCTTATTATGGAACAACCTGCTCCCAAATATGTACCTAGTGCCTTCCTATTTGCCTACTGGAAGTTGGTTGAATCTGTCTTTTTGAATGACTTTAAGGAGCTGAGTTGGATTGCTGATTGTATAAGCATTCATTGGTATTTGTATACTTTGTTTTGATAGTTTGAATTTTGTGGAAACTGTTAGGATTCATTTTTTGTGTGATAAAAATATTTGCAACAAACAAGCAAATATGTACTAGAATTGTGGCATTTTAGTTTAGAAAGCAGACAAAACTCTGGACATTAGAGGAATGAACAAAAATTACAAGGTGGATTTGCAACAAAATGTTCTAATGTGGATTCCAGCGAATCCACTACTTTCCAAACTCACTTTCCCAATTTCTTTCTTCCCCCCACCACAACAAATTTAGCTATGGTCCCATGGATATTAAATAAATCCAATGTTCATGATACTGTCTACTGAAGTACCCGATCCCATATATATTTTTTGCATTGCTACAATTGTCATGTTCCTTTGGATTTGCTAGTACTATAAACTTTTAGTTGAAGCTTCTTTGAAACAGTGGTGGTGTCAAAGTTTGGAATTAAAAGGGAACAAGTGAAGCCCCTGGCAAAAATGTCAAGTCAAAACTGAAATTATAAGACTTGTAGCTGTGTTTCAATCATGAATCCATTTCTTAGAAAAGAATTTATAACTATACCTGTGTTATAAATGTGAACTGATATGGAGGTAGCCCAAAGCTTTCTTAGAATTCTATGGGTTCTTCATGTGCTCACTAATTTTTTTAGTGACTATTCTATTCATAATAGGTTTGCTCCCTTCTATTTCTATAATATTATATTATCTCATTCACTCTTTCAAGCCAGACTTCAGATGGTAATGGTGCCAAGAAGATTCTTCTGCAAAGTATATATTTTGTTCCCTCCCTTCCTTCTGCATTCTTTTCTACCATTTGTGAATTGTATCTTGTTTCTCCCTAAAATATTAGTGCTATTTGGTGCTTCTCCATATTGACTGATTGTTGGAAAATGAAAAATAGAAGTTCTGTTTAGAACCTTTTATTACAGCATGCCTTGGATCTTAAGTATACATTTTCTCTGGCATATCATGAAATTCTTCTAAAAACCAATGCCCATGTACATATATAATAGGTACTTCTGGAAGTTCCTTGGCAGTCCAACAGAAATCTGGCAGTCTAAAGGAAGAGAAAGAGATGCATCCACAATGATGGTCCACATCAAACCCAAGTCTTTGTATCCACCAGATGTATATTTCTATATTTCACATAAGATAGATAGATAGATAGATAGATAGATAGATAGATAGATAGATAGATAGATAGATAGAATGAATACTTTATTGGCCAAGTGTGATTGGACACACAAGGAATTTGTCTTGGTGTAAATACTCACAGTATACATAAAAGAAAAGATACATTTGTCAAGAGTCGAGAATCATAAGGTACGACACCTAATTATAGTCATAGGGTACAATAAGTAATAAAGATAATATTGAACAGGAACTGTGGAAATTGTAGTCCAACACACTTAGAAGTAGAGATATTTTAGGGAAATATGCATTTCAAACTGAGGTCCCCCATTTATTTACTTATTTATTAAATTTATATGCTACCCATTTCACTCTGCAAAGTGAACCTGGCCAGCTGTTAGGATGATTGGTGGTATTCCCAGGATAGACCAAATATAAATTAAAACAGACACACAGAATCTCTTTGTTGGCTCATTGTCCTTCCCCTGACACCCTATTCCCTAACTTCACTTTTTTCCTCCTTTAGAAGCTTATTGCATTTCCATGGGGACTAGAAGGAATGTTGAAGCTAATTATTAGAACCCATTCCTGAACCCCAAGGAGAGGAAAAAAATGATCCACAAAATTTGAAAAGGAAAATCACAGGGAAGGGAAACTTTTAAGACATTTGGTTCAAAGGGTTTGATGGGACAATGGGAGTGGGAGGGAGTCTTTCTACTTTCATTGTTAGCCTGGCCCTTAGAAATAGCAGGCCAGACAGGGTCAATCACTCGCAAGCCTTGCTGAAGCATTAACAAGATGGGCAGATTTCTTTCTTATGGAAGAGGAATGTCTTCTCCCCCCCCCTTGCAGAGAACATGTTCAAGCAAGGAGAAAATGGGATAAAGCCCAAGGAGAAAGCACCAGCATTTTTGCTTTAAAAATGCAGACAGCTGTGCCTAGACTGCAAGCCAAAGCCATCACATCTCTATGTCTGCTTAAATTGGTGACGACCTGGAGAAAGAGACGGAAAGCGCTGCCAAGGTTATGCACTCATTGACTCATAGAGGCTGCCGGGCTACCTATTTGCCAATAAGACTAATCAAGCCAGACCAAATGAATTAACATTCTGGATGTCAAAACAAGGGTACTGCAATATCTGTCAGAATGGCTTAAAAGTCTACCTTTGAAGCAGTACTCAAGTCTGAATCCAAAACTTCTCCGAAAATGTATGCATTTTTTTCAAACAGAAAGATACGTAAAGGAGTTTACTATTATTCAGCTGTCTATAGACTATGTTTCCTTTTGCTCTCCTAAAGCCTGTAACGGTAAAAGAATTATCAACTTGGTCCTATACATTGGTCAAAGAAGTGCCTTATACAGAAAGTCCTCAACTTACAACAGTTCATTTAGTGACTGTTCAAAGTTACAATAGCGTCAAAAAAAGTGACTTATGACCGTTTTTCACACTTACGACCTTTCCAGCATCCTCATGATCATGTGATCAAAATTCAGATTCTTGCAAACTGGCTCACATATATGACAGCTGCTATGTCCCCCAAGATCATGTGGTCACCTTTTGCGATCTTCTGACAAGCAAAGTCATTGAGGAAGCCAGATTCACTTAACAACCAGGTTACTAAATTAACAACTGCGGTGATTCACTTAACAACTGAGGCAAGAAAGGTTGCAAAATGGGGCAAAATTCACTTAACAAATGTCTCACTTAACATCATAAATTTTGGGCTCAATTGGGGTCATAAGTCGAGGATTACCTGTATAAGTAATTTCGCAATCAAAAGCTAATAGCTGTGTCTTGGGATTTTTCTTTCTCCCTCATTCCTATCAATTCTTCTTCTTTTTGCATATTTTTTTTAAGTTGTAAACATGAGTGCTAGGTCTTTCTTAATTATGCCTGTTTGATAGATGGCTGTCATCTGTGGTTACTTATCAAATATATTAGTAAAACTCAAATGTCCAGAGATTCTACACTGCATCTTTGCGCAAAAATGATATGCTACACGAAAAGTCCATAATGTTCATGAGATGCCTACCATGTGAGAAAAGAAAGACAATTTCCAACAATTTAACCAAAATTTAATCTAGCAAGGTAACCTCATATGCATACAGTCAGGAACTAAGAGACAAGCTTCAAACAAAGCAATATTAACAATGACAACAACACCTCCAAACTGGAGCAATTTAATTCTTCAAGTTTTGAGAATAAAGCAATTATTTGGCAAATTCTCCATATTCATACTTATCCTGCTATTCTCATGTATAAGTAGCATTATACAAAGTGCAGAAAAGAAGTAAGGAATGGTATGCCAAAGAAATAAAGACATAAAATAAGAAAATACAGATTAATCTAATTTATATCAAAGCCATTCACTATATTTGTGTTTCTTGTAAATTGTCCCAAATGTGCTTTTTCAAAAGGCAACGAGACTTTGTTTTTCCTTGAAGATGTTTCGCTTCTCATCCAAGAAGCTTCTTCAGTTTTTCAGGTATTTCCTGAAAATCATTCTTATTTTCACCACATCAGGAAACTGCTTCAAACATTGCTTTTTGTCTTGAAACTTTTCACTTCTATTATCAATTCCATCTCATCATGACTTTCCCAGTTTGTCCATTCCTCTTAACCTATTTACTCTCCTGTTAGGTATTTGTTTTGTGATTTGATCTGGATTTATTTCATAATTCAATCTATTTCTTTTTACTTTTATGACTCACTTTCATATTCAATCCATATTTATTCGGCACTTACTGTATGTGTTCTTGACCTTATCCTCTTGTTTTACCACACATGTTTTTAAGTAACCATTCCCATTGCATCTGAGTTACTTTTATGTTTCTTCTGATATACCCAACTCTTACTTCCATGTAACAAAATGAGCAGAAGCAAACTTTCATACACAGCAATTTTTCACTTCTTTCAACATTCATTTCACATGCTATCCACTAATTTTCCTGCCAGGATTGTCATGCCTTAGATTAGAACCTCCATTCATTTTCCATCTTTCATAAATACTTTACCAAGAAATACAACTTTACCTACTGGCTCTAGTTTTTAAACATTTAAATGTACTTTGCAACTGTTCACTTAATTTTCTTTATCAAATGCAACTACACTAGTGTTTGTTATACTAATTTTATTTCCTATTCTTTGTTGCACCATAAAAATAACAGTCACTGAAAATCCTAGTATTTCCTATACACTATGTAACTATTACCAACACAGAGATTTCTACTTTCACCTGCACCTATCTTATGAGGAGATATAATGCATCCTACTTTTCTATGCAAGAACACTAGCTGAGAGAAGAAAATCATAGACACATAGACATTAACAACATCTATAGACTATGCACAAGAGACAAATCAACCAGCCCCAAAGAGAATAAAAGTATTCCAGGACCTCTCCAACAGCAATCAGCAACCAGATCAACATAGATTAACTCCAAGGTTAACCTCCAACCAGGGGTGTCAAACTCACATCATCACATCATCGTCACATGACGTATCGTGACTTTTCCCCCTCCTCCATTGGCCCTACCCTATAAACTCCCTCCCACTGGAGATCTGACAAGATGCCACCCTTTTAACCTTCTGGAGAGCACTCAAAAGAAAGGCTTACTCCTAGGCGCTCGGATAAGGTGAAACAATAATGGAAGGACGTGATGGGTTGCATCAGGAATATGTGGTTGTAGTGCCAGGTTTTTCCTAGTTTTTGTTTTATTGTTTTTGTTTTAGCTATATTTTGTTTGAACGGTTGCACTGTAAACTGTCCAGAGATTGGTTTTACGATGGGCAGATATACAAATGTTTTGGATAAATAAATGTTCCTGGTTATTCTTCCTCCATCCTTAAAAACAGCTGCGTTCTTGCAAAAGGAGGCTACCTAGTCCAATCAGCAGGCCACTCAGCTACCACTAATCAAGGATGTGAGCTAAAACAGAAAGTGGTGAGAACATTCACAACTGCTTAAGTTTCTGTAACCTGGTTTCCTCTACATGTGTGGCAATTTAGTTCTATAAATTTCCAGTCAATGTGACTTTTGGTCTTGGCATTGTGGGACTTGGAGCCCAACATACCTAGAGAGCACAAAGTTGGGAATTTTTTTTTAGTCTAATTAAAATAATAATCCCAATTATAGTCAAGCCTATTTGCAAAGTCCTCCAACCCCTTGGCTGCCACTTTCAAATAAATGATCTTTGACAGGCTATGATTGGGGAAAGAGTGTGGAGAGTGTGTGTGTTCTCTGCTGATTAAAGCATGGTGCCAACAACACTCACAGCCCTGGGACAAAAGGCATAGTTTAGAACAGGTGTGTCAAACTCGATTTCAT